CACGCCAGCTGATGCTCACAACTGCCACTTCCAACAGTGTTGAGAAACCTCTGGGTTTCCTTCTGTTGCAGTCTGTTTACGAGGTGTAATTGAGATCTATCCCTGTCATGGTAGACTTTGGAGATCCAGAAAGTGAGTGTCACAGTCACAACAGGAAACTTCCAGAGCTGTCCTCCTGTCAGTGTAAAATAGTCTCCCAAGTGGGATGAAGGGTTAACTACTCCATGGTTTTTGTGGACCAATGTCCACCATGCTTGCTTTGGACCAGGGGTTTCTGATCACGTCTCTTACCTGATGTGTTGGCATGATTCTCGAGAATTACTGGTAAGTACTTTAGCTGGACTAAACTGTGTTTTCTTTCTCATTTGGCAACTATTAGAAGCTTCTGATCTCACACTCAAGTTTTATTCTTAAGTAGAGAAGAAACAAACTTTTCTGGCTCTCTGGTACCCAGATATCTGTTGAGGTGAAGGTTCTCCTTGCACTGGTTAAAGTGGATATTTCTGTCAAAAAATGGTTTCAACAAACCATGGAGGTTTCAGAAAATTTGTTAATGATATGAACTAGTCCAGCGACTCAAATTTCTAGGGGAAGGAATGTACTTTTCATGTCTTAACTGATTTTAATGACCTACACTAAACATTGAAGTTTTCACTTCAAGTTCTATTTTATCCAAATGTATTTGCTCATTCTGCATGTAACATTAAGTGCTATAACTTGAGGAAAGAAAGTCTGTTCTCTGTGCCAAACTTGATGACATTGTTTCTTTGGTTTGAGTTTTAACTGTGGCACTATTGACACAGCAGAATAGGAGGACTACTGAGTCAAAGCAGGGATTTTTGAAGAGCTGAGAGCAGAAATACTCAGCGAAACATTCCTCTGGTTGTATTAGGAAGTCTAAAAATCTTAATTTCTCCCTCAGAAATATGCAATAGTGCTCTTCTCTTGAGTTTTCTTAAAATTGAGAGGCTTCATTGCCTTGAGTAATTCCACCCTAAGATGCGCTCTGGCTCAAGTGCTCTCTTCTGCAAAGAGAGCAGTATAAGTTTAATGTGACTTTTTTTAATTATTCTAATGCAAGTGCTTCATGTGATAACTGCATGCACAGTAGGCTTGTCCTCTGTGGGCAGTTTTAAAGTTAGCAGAGAAAAGAATATATTTTTTGGCAGCATAAGCTTTGGTGTATATTAGCTGGATGTCTTGTAGCTGTCTAGATGAATTGCCAGAAGCTCACAACAGAGAAGGTCTTAATTCTTTACTTTCCAGAAACGCATGCAAGTTTGTGATTCATAGCTTCGTCACTAGCGCCCAGCATTGAAGCAATCTTGTACACCCATCTTTTGAGAAACAAAGCTAGATACGGCCTTGCTAGTCTGACACGGCAGTTGTAGGGTTGGCATGGGCTTTGTTTTTCTTCATAGCGAGTGAGGTCACCATGGCACAATAACGTTTTGTTTCACGGCAAGCAGTAATGTGTGTGACATTACTGGTGTGTTGTATCGAAAACACTGCAGGTCCTTGGGATGTTGTAGGGTGGGCAAGGGCAAGAAGTGCATTGCTGCTTGCTCTCTGATTCCAAGAGGTTGAAGGCTGCATGGTTTGTGGTGCATGTCGCAGATGTTTAATCAGGTGTGGAGGGGCCTTTTACGTAGGCAGAGGCCTAGTTTTAGAAGTTGATGTAGCAATGTAACTCGCCTGTCTTTCCGTAAAAGCTAGTTTGATTCATACTGCACAGAGTACAGAATTACTTGCTGAATTTGCTACAGGTGTATGCTAGCTGGGTTTATCCCCTTTGAAGACAGCTAGACCTGTTAAAACTCTACCCCTAATGTTAAAGGATATGTGAAGAAATACATCACTCGTGTACGTTACTGCATGAATGGGGATCAGTATCGTGACCTGTCAGACTGTAATGCTTTCAGCATAAACTTGATATACAGTGTTTTCTAGTACTGTTAGTGTCTAATACAATGAGACTAGTGTCTTTTTTAGGTTTGTTGTCAGTAGATTTAAACAGTTTAATTTTATGTAGTCCTGCAGGAATTATTTTGGGATTTGCTTCTTTTTGCTTATTATAGTAATTTCAAGCTACTAGAGGTGATGAAAAGTGAGTTGACATAAATGGAATATTTCATTATCTTTATGGTTTGGAAGGATGTGGTTCTTTGTTTAGTTGGCTCAACATTGTCACAGCTAGCTTTGTTTTTCAAATTCTGCATGTTACAATCCTTAAAAACAGTTTTCTATTCTAATGAGAAGTTGTATCTATGAGGAAGACCAGGATGCTACAGTACCTTTAAAAATAAAGGGAGAAGTGGACACGTGCCATTCTAAAGAAGAGACATACGGTAGCCTGTGAACCCATGCATTTTCACTGAAAATATGCTCGTTTGCTTAGATTTATTGAATGCTTTTAAAGTAAAATAAGTGCTCTGGTTTCATACTCAGTTGCACGAAAGGTATTTACGACATGCTGCAGTGATGATAGTCTGGTGACTTTCCTGAACCTGCCTATATCTGATACTGACTTCTTAGTCTGTTGTGTACTAAGACAACTACCAAAAGTGGCAGAAGAGGACTTGATTATAATCTCATCTGAAAACAAGATATTTCATTCTTCCTAGGTAGGTGTAGTGTGTATGTGACTTTAATAGATAACTGCTTCACAGGGAAGGCTGTCTGCTAAGCCTGGGATGTAAATACTATGTTCAAATGAGAGGGTATTATGTCTTTCAGGTGTCAACGGAAACAATGGCGGATAGATTTGCCAGCCACTAGTGTGGTGATCACCTTTCATAATGAGGCAAGATCTGCTTTGCTTCGAACCGTCGTCAGGTATACCTAAGAGACCTTGATTTTTCCCTAAAGGCCATTCATTTGTGTCAGATAATGGCTTATGATAAGGAAGGGAAGTAACAATCCATTATGCTTTTCTGAATCATTTGCAGAGGGAAAGATGAGTCTTAATTTCATTGATGTCTCCAGTACTTATATTCTGAAATAGTGATGTTAAACAAAATTCCTCCCCTTAATTACAAATGCATGAAAGTGTGGAACCAATTACCAGATGATGTGTGGAGGTTGGCTGTATAACTAGTTTCAAGAAAAAAATCAGGGAAGATGGATTCTCAGGGGATATTTGACCTAAAGATATCTGCAAAACTTCCATGTTACAAGTTGTCTAATGCACTGACTTCTGGAGGCTCGAATTTCGGGGGGGAATGATTCTACATGTGCCTCTCTTGACAAACACTTTCTGTAAGAATAAGCCAATAGCTGTTGTTGAAGATAGCATCCTGGGCTAGGTTCTACTGTGGCTTAACAAAATAACTGCTTTTATGACATCGTTATGGAAAATTAAGACTGCTTAGTGTTGAATCCTTTTTTTTTTTCCTGTTTCAGTGTCCTTAAAAAAAGCCCATCACATCTTATTAAGGAAATCATACTGGTGGATGACTACAGTAACGATTGTAAGTACTCTTACAGGGTCCTAACTTTATTTTGTTTATTCTGGTAAGACTTTCTGTAGGTGCTAGTAAGTGACTCAGTTGAGAACAGGTCACATGAATAGGAGTTTGCAGAGACTGATCCAAAACCAGGTCTTAGTTCTTCTGTATCTGTCACTGCGGAAGTGTGAAGAGTTCTGATAAATACTTCAGGTATATTTTGTTACTTCCTGCTAGCTGAAGGAGCAGAGTGTATAGTTGAAAACAGCCTTTATATAGCATGTTATCTGATGTAAAAATAAAACCCATGATGCTTGCAAGAAATATTTTTGTAGCACTGCTTTAAATGAATGCTGGTCTCCATCAATCTCTTGGAAAAAATTCTTACTGAATCTAAAATAAGTCAAGGTTTTATAAGTACTAGGGTATCACAATACAAACTTGAACAATTGAAATGGACCTCTGAGTAACATTTCTTAAAAGAATTTAATGTCTACACTTGCATTGCTAGTTTATAGCTAGTTTAGGATAGGTTTAAGCCTTAATGTTGGTTAAAAAGTGAGCTTTCTTATATGCAAAGAAAACAATTAATCCTAGAAAATAGTTTAATCCTATAAAAGTTTTTTCTTATGCAATGTAGAAACTGTGTAAAGTAAGCAAAAAGAATATCATTAAACAAAAATATTTCAAGAGTGTAAAATGAAATTAGCTTTAAATAAAATAATGAGGGTAGTAATTTTTTAGCCTGGTAACTTTTCTTTATTTCTGGTGAGACAAGTAGGCATTTTTTTAAACATATATCTTATATTTAACTATTTATGACCATAAACACTTTCCACTACAAAGCTTTTGTTTTTCTTTGAAGACAGACACTCTTATGGTATACATTGTTGGATATCAAACTGGTTCTCATCACTTTTTTTTAATTATTTTACTTTTTAAAGCTGAGGATGGTGCTCTCTTGGGAAAAATTGAAAAAGTGCGGGTTCTTCGAAATGATCGCCGAGAAGGTAGGCTTAATCTGCCTGAAGGAAGGTACAAATTCCACTGTGCTGCCTTATCTGTTAATCTTCATCAAGTCTTTTAAAGGAATGTTCTGCTATATGTTCCGTATTGAAGGGGGGATTTTCACTTTATAAATCAACTTACTAGTGGAAGGAATAAAAACAAATGCATTTGTGCAAGTAAAAACAGTAATTCTGATTAATTCTGTATTGTTGTGTGCGCAGTTGCCCATTGTTGGCTTTCACAGTGAAAGCTGACTTGGGAAACTGCCTTTCACCCTCAACCTCTCCTTTCTGTAACTGTACTGAATCATCAGTTAAGCTGCTCCCATTGTACGTAAGGTCTCACCGTAAACTGTATGATTGTTTGAAATGGTCCAGCTTAAAAATAGCCCTCTTTTTTGCTGGTTCCCTTACTAGAGATCATTTTAAGGATCCAGTTGATGGGCAGCCCAGCAAAACTTGTTTGGCAGACTTGAGAGGGTTTGAGCAGCCAGGAGGGCCGGGACCACGTATGCCAGTTTTGCTGAAGCCAATGTGCCATGTAACAAACTCGTCTTACATTTTTTTTCTTCTTCTTTGTTGCTTTGTAAATTATGGTCTCATATCACTGAGCCCTTTAGTCAGCAGCTTCCTGGCTACGGAGCTTAAAGTATTAGATATAGGCAACTGTTATTCTACAGCTGTTTGAAATAATAAGTGAGAGTTGATGGTTGAAATAGCTGACTGAGTTAGCAGATATGTGCTCGTTTATTTTTATAAGCACTGTATCTTCTAGGCTGCCAGCCTGGCCTGGGGAGCAGCTAGAATCATGAGACTGTCAGAAACCGGAAATTACATGCACAGAACCTGGGTTGTCCCATAACTAAAGTTATTGCAAACGGGTGGGTTCTTAGTGTTTAAATGTTTTGTTTGGAATATACTTGTGAACAAAGGCTTGTTAGGAAAGCAGGCCTTCTATGACTTGCCATGGTTGCAGGGTCCTGAGTAAGTTAATGTCACTTTTCTGATCAGTACAGCATTTAAAGATGGAGGTAATAATAATGGAAAAACAGAATGAAGTCACACTTCTTTATTTTTATTTTTTAGTAATTATAAATATTAACTTTGTACTGCAAATTCATACTTAAAAATAGGCATCAGTATATCTCAAAATGAAATATGATTTGACAAATCTTTTACTATGTCAGAAAAGAACAACTGTTTGCAGATTGAAGGCATAGTACTAGTTTACTTGGTATTTTTGTGAGATTAAGATTAAATTATTACCCATGGGATCTACTGTACTGTTCATAAAGCTTTGCCTAGGCATCCATATGTGCAACCAGGTGATAATTTTTTAAATTAAAATACTGTAAGATTTCATTTGATTGCTGGCTCGCTATGCTTGAGTTTGATATTCACTTTGCTTTTCATTTTCAAGCATAGTCTGATACTAATATCTCAGACAAATACAAATTAAAATTTTAGAGAATCAGTAAAATCAACCAGTGTGTAGGATGCTAAGAGTAACACATTAGCATGAACAGCAGAGAAAAGCAATGTGTTTTAAAACAAAAATTAAAATAAAGGGGCGGTGTCTGCAGAGGGGATGACATTGACTGCCTTGCTTCCAGAAATATGTGATAGTAGCTTTTAGTCTCATCTGTAAGACCAGAGTTTTTTATGGGAACAGATGTTTTTTGGAAGATGTGGTAGTCTACAGAATACATGTTCAGGGGAACCTTCTTGACTCTTTCAGTTATAAGGCTGAATGTGATTGTAGAGGACTCAATGACCCAAGTGGTCACCTCCATTTTTTTGGCCCTAAATCTGAAATTAGAAATGCTGTTGTGTGTTTTCTACGGAAGTAGGGCGAGACAAGTAGGTTCTATGAGAATGGAAGTTAGAAATAATAAGCTCTGGAAAGAGGAACTGCAGAAGTAAAAGAAAAATAGCCAGAGTGATTGAAATGGTTTGATTTGGAAAAACTGAACAGAACAGGTTGAAAGGTTGGAATTAGGGAGACAGCATAAAAAGCAATGAGGTACAGTTAGCTGCCAATGTGCAACAGATAAGGTGTAGAAAGTACTGTTGGAGAGCATAGCACAGCACGTACCTACAACAGTAAAGCGCTCACATTTGCGGTAAGAGATAGTACAAGGATCTTGATGAGGCTCTTGCTGAATGTTGGACAGAGCAAACAAGCTTTCCATCTTAAGCATCTTGTATTCTGTTTGGCAGAGTCATATTTTGCAGGTTTATTTTGTAAAGGGTATGGAAAGAAATGGGGTTGACTCTTTTACAATATTTCAGTTAAGAGGGGAAAAAGAAAAGCAGAACAGATTTGCTGGGAAACAATGTAGAAAGAAAAAGAAAAAAGAAGTAGTTAGTTGGCTTTGGTCTTGAGTGACGATGCAATCAGTGAATTTTGAATAGTAATAGCGAAAAGTAGGGAGGAAATTTGCAAAGGAATGAGAGGAAGCTTGCTATTTTTCCTGTATTGAAGGTAGTGGTGGGATGTTCTGGGTTATTAGTTGAAGATGTCCCTGCCCACAGCAGGGGGTTTGGACTAGATGACCTTTAGAGGTCCCTTCCAACCCAAACTATTCTGTGATTCTATGATTTGTGTATATATAGCAAGGAACTTTAAGGAATGGTGAGGTCATCCAATGAACAAATATTAAAAGAAAAGGAAGGAAGGAAAGAAAGGAACAGGGTAAATCAGTGAGGGGACCTGTGAAATTGAGGTGTAGAGAAGAGAAGAACCTTTTGGCTTTACCAGAAGTTTCTTCTTAAAGAAGTCTTTTCAAGATAAGATTTAAAAAAAAAAAGAGACAAACAAAAAAAACCCCAAAACCCCTACAAAACAAGAGAATTGCAAGAAACACAGGGGAAAGACAGTTGAAAGGGGTGGGACGAAGGCTCTCAGACATGAATTAATGAAGCATGGATATTTCTGGAAGAAGTTGATAGAAGAAAGGACAGACTGTGGCAACTAAGATGGGGGAGTGGCAAAAAGTTGGGGAGGATAAGTTAATGATGGTGCTTTCCTCAGTTCTATCGTAGAACTGTTGGAAAGGTGTTTGTTTTCAGGACGTGTCTTGAGTAACATTTATCAGTATAAATACTATTTACTGTAATGGAGACCCAGCTGTACTTGTGTATCGTGTTTTTTGAAAAGGCACTTTAATTCTTCTACCTAAATTAGATTGAAACCTGTAGACTAGGGTGCAGTAGGTTGGCAGCTTGCAGGCTGTTTGTTATGAAGTCATTTCACTGAATTGTTAATTAGTATCTCATTTTGATAATGGAACTTGTGTGTTTGCCCTGTCTCAGTCAGAGTAATTTAATTAATGACTTACATGGAATGCAATAGTTTCTCACTATTGTTGATTGTTTTCCTCAGTAGGTACTTTAAACTTTTTATCTTTACTTCTCAGGCTTGATGCGCTCCCGTGTCAGAGGGGCGGATGCAGCACAAGCAAAAGTATTGACCTTCCTGGATAGTCACTGTGAATGCAATGAGCACTGGCTGGAACCACTTTTGGAAAGAGTAGCTGAGGTTAGTAAAGAGTTCTTCTAAAGCAATTTCCTGAAGGAGTAGCTTTTAAATTTTAAAGCCATCTGGTTTATACTACGTTAATTTTTTGCATTTTTCTAAGGAAGCTTTTTCTCTGAAGTGAGGTGATGGAGATGATCGGAGTGTTCCATGACTAAAACCCATTTTTTGCTCATTTTATCTGTGAACACAGGAACATAAAATGTGAATATTTATTATTGTCTTTACAAGCAATTCAAATATATGCTTCTTTAGTTCTTTAGGGACTGCTGCAGTAAGTGTTGAAAATCTTTAGAGCAAAGTATAGTTCTCCTCAACCAATATCACCTCAATGTAGTTCAGTTTACCTGAGTATTCATACCTCATTAAGATTCAGTGTGATAATAGGAGAGAGGTTGAGCTGTGAAACCAAAATTCTCATGGAAATTAGCAGGGACTGTGGGCTCTCGGCTTTTGTGTAAATGATGCTTAGTCTGTGTCCCGGAAAAGCAATTGAGAGTATTGAGAGTGAAAGTATACTGTTTTCTCCAGGGGTTGGTTATACTTGTTAACTTGCTCTGGAGGAACTCAGTTGAACTGGAAAGTGAATCAAGTGTGATCCCAAAAAGCACTGGGGAACACTCAAGACAGCAGGGTTTTTCTTCTTTCTTAATTGCATTCCCTTTCTGGTAAACTCCCCTTCCTGGACAGGCTTTCTTTCAAAATGCTTCTGGTCAAAATGGTTTTGCTAAGCTACTCTGTCTTGTTAATGCCCAGTTCTTCACTTATCCTCCCTACACTTCCCTCTGCATTTGCCCACAAAAAGGGGAGGGGGCGGCAGGGAAGGAAGTAAAACCCATATACTCAATATGCCAATGGAGAAGCTATCAACTGATGACTGGTTTTCCTTATTCTGTTTGGTTCTATGATGCTTTACTGTGTATTCCAGAAATACTGTAAGTTGCCTAAGACATACTGGCAGTTAAAATCCTATTTTGGAGTAGAAATAACTCTAATCAGCTCAAACCTGGACACTATTAAAGTACCTAGAGCCTACAAAGCCCTTGAGCATGAGTAACATAGCACTTCCTTCTATTTTTGTGCTCGTGTAAAGTGTTGCAGCCTCAGAAGGGTTGGGGGAATTTCTCCTGTAATAATTAACTAGGAAAATAAACTCAGACATTAAATATATCTCAGAAGGAAGTGGAGAATGCTTGCAGCTAAAGCACTAATCGATTCTAGGATGTGGAAATGGTTTTCAAGCCTTTTTGTTAAATGGTTTGAAGCATCTACCTGTTCAAGACATCAGAAGAGAAATGGTAGTTTTGGTCAACAAAGCCCTGCTTTTAGTAAGACAGCTATTTTGCCATTTACCCTTTTTCTTTATGACTTTTTTCAGGACACACTCATTTAGCTTTCTGAAACTGGTATGGGATATGAAAAACTGTTAACCTTTTCATCATAACAGAATGTGTAAAACCTTTTATTAAACTGCTGACAGTTTTGTGAAGATCCAGTGTTACATGTGGTGTACTTGGTGGGAGAAACTGTTGCATATTTTGCTTTGTGCAGCAGCCACTTTTTAGCAGCACGTGTATTACTAGACCTTTCAAGACTTACTCTTCACAGTCATCACTGTGATACACAGTAATTGTGTGTGCCATTGAATAGCTTTCAGCTGTATGAATACAGTTTTCCATTCTTAAAAGCTTGATGTACTGTTAAATAAATAGTTGATGTGGAATTCCAGTTTACTTTCATCTGGGAAGATTCCCAGCCAACAAGTATGGGGGCTGATAAAGTAGCTTCTAAGCTTTCTGCTTGTTCAAATAATTAAGACATGGATAGTGTTTACGTATAGTATATGATATTCTTTGTTATTTTAAATGGATTGATTTTGCTCACAGTGCAGACGGTATGTTACTTGATGTTAATTGGCAGCATTTTCTTGATAGTCTCAGTGACAAAAAGCTGAACAGATATGAACTCATTCCTGCCCTGGCCTCAAAGGTAACTTTTTTCAGGTCAGGGCTACTATGCATTAATACAGTATTTTCTGGTGCGCTGCTGCATCTATTCTATATGTGGTGGAAAGTGTAGGCTTTTTCTTTTTTCCTTTTGTTCCAGAATTGCCCACTTAGCATTTAATTCTGTTGGAGTTTTGGGGGATTAGTTGTGTGTGTCACAATATAAAAAATTTATAGCTTCCAAGAAACAGTCTGAATTGAATCAGTTCTACAGTACTCTATCTGATGTGCTATAACCACTTTAGAAAGTTGTCCTTGACCTCTTGCTTGTGTTAGGAGCACCTGAGGCATCAAGCTCTCCTCTTCAATTGAAAGATGATCCATCCCACAGTTTTCTTCTTTGAGATGGTTTCCTGGTTAGAGTATCTTTGTCTATTGACCGGGCTTGCTTAGCATTCTTAGAGGGGTCTGACACTGCTAGGGATTTTTCTTCAGCGATTTGAGCAAAGGCTTAAAGCAGAAGCAGCATACATACAAGGTGAATATTTTAGAATTCAGAATGTACAGATACCTGTGTAACCTGGAGCTGGTATATCTTTTCCCTCTTTGCTCCCTCCTGGAGAATGGTTTTCTGCCTGTTTCCCTAAGGCTACCTTTTATGCCCTCTAGATTTTTTTTTTTTAAGTGTGCGTTAGGGGAGATTAAACAAGGAGACAGTGGAGGTTAACCCTTTGATTACCCCAAAATGTCAACATAGTAATAAGTATACACAATCTTGAAAACCTTGGTAACTACTAGCTTTTTCATGAACACTTGTCTACTTGGCTTTTTCCATTTCCAATTTCTAATCGCTTTGATGTTTTATTCTTATGATGCATCAGTTATGAGAAAAATAAAAATTGAAAGATTCTGGTGCAGAATGGAACTAATCTGTTTTCATAGCATAGCTGTAAATCCTGTATCACTTTTAGGAAGGTATTTTTAAACAAACATGATCTTAAAAGGAAGAAAGAGCTAGGATTAAGAAATGAGATGTGGATTCCTTTTTCATATCTGTCTCAGATTTTTGTGACCTTGAATGAATCAACTTTTAACTGGCACAATGCTGAAAGGAAAATATTTATTTTCTTTTAAGAGTGTTGTGAAGCTTAACCTTTGAAGTGTCTTGAGATTTTTAGGGGGGGAAGAAATTTATGCAGAATCTTGAGGATAATTTCTGATGGTTTATGAGAATAATATATAATAGTCTAACTCTCTAGAGCATACATAACCTCCTTATGAAATATTAAAATGAAATAGTCTGCTACAAATTTCCAGGCACTAGAGACTTGCAGTGTTCACAGGCTATTTCTTTCCATTACCCTCACCAAGAAGCAGATAGTTTTCCAATTGTGCGTTCCATTATAAGTTATGGTGTCAACCCTTCAGAATGAAACAGGAGATTATAAAAAGAAGAGTTCCTTTTTGCTTGTGTTTCTGTTTCTGAAATGCACATCAGATTTCTACTTTAATCACACTATGGGTAAATAAGTATCTTGCTTTAGGATAATTTAAAGGGAGCAGCTGCTTTTTAGTGTTAAGTGAATGAACTTCCTGTACTTTGGAGACCCACAAGCTCTGTTTAGCAGTCTCTGCATTAACAACTTTGTAGTGCCCTGCAAAGCATCACCTTAAGAACGTTGTAAGTCTTTTGTCTGCCTTGCTGCTGAGCAGGTCTATAATTTCAAATCATGGAAGGAACAGTGTGTTTCAAAGCCAACAAAGTGGGGGTTGTACATTGAACTGAATGGTTGCAACTTGTGTATTTGTCTGTCGGAGAAACAACTGTAAGTTGTTTAAGTAATACATTGGGTGTAGCAAGTGGTGTTAGTGCGGTGTCGCACCGATATTGATAGAACTAATCAGACCAGCAGTAAAAGCTTGAGGAAATCCCAAATGCGTAGAGACAACATGCTACCTGCTTACTCAGCACAGTGGAGTGGAGATAAGTTGAAGCCTAACTGAAGCTCTACCTAATGTGACACCTGATAGCTTGGGCGACTCTTACTACCAGGTTCAACCGAGCTGAGTAGAACCATTTGAGAAAAAGCAAATTTTTGTCAGAAAAGGTTTTTAGAGATGGGCGCAGCTGTTGGTCTCTTTTCCAAAGTAACAAGTGATAGGACGAGAGGAAATGGCCTCAAGTTGTGCCAGGAAAGGTTTAGACTGGATATTAGGAAAAATTTCTTCACTGAAAGGGTTGTCAAGCATTGGAACAGACTGCCCGGGGAAGTGGTGGAGTCACCATCCCTGGAGGTATTTAAAAGCCATGGAGACGTGGTGCTTAGGGACATGATTTAGTGGTGGACTTGGCAGTGCTAGGTTAACAGTTGGGCTCGATGATCTTAAGGGTCTTTTCCAACCTCAATGATTCTATGATTCTATTCTATAAGGTGTCTCAGTTTCAGCTAAGGAAAGAAGGAGAAGGAAAGGAAGGGTGGTTTCATTTTTGTCTTTCATGCTGATGGGTGTATAGTGAATCACTTGGTAGGCTGGATATCTTCTGTCTCATCAGTCTTTAAATAAAGGAGTTTTCTAATTCTGTCACTGTAGATAGAATGCCTAAAATAAGGTCATGGGTGCACCTGAAGTGCTTTAGTGGTGTAGGAGAGCACACAAACACAAGTAGTGTTTTGCAGTTAAGGTGCAGTAAATCATAATTGCCTCCCAAGTACAACACAGTTAGCAAAACCATAAGATTGCCATTGCAAACATGGACTTGGGGCTACAGCTAACAGAAATAGGAGCTAAAGATGTGGTCGATGGGGGAACAGGACAGGTTGGTCTTTTTTGTCTGTGTTTCTAGCTTGCTTTAGACTAAGCTAATTAATACTTAGTAGCAGACCTGATCAGATGTTACATTACATCCCTCATAAAGGCAGATATTTGGCCCAGGTGGTATAGCTGCAGTGATACTTAAAAGGAATGTAGAAATCAGTAATGAGTCTTCAACTTTTAGCTTAGTCTTCAGCTTTTAGCTGAATAGTTAAGATTCAATAAATAAAAACAGGTGTTTAATGTCCTTATTGGACCAAGCAAAGCATTTGACTAAAAGAGTTGCTTTTTAGTCTCTTGTTATGAGCTCAAACTATTCTCATACTAGTTTGGTTCCGATCTGTTCTGTATAATACTGAT